GCGGTCGGGTAGCCTTGTGGTTAAAGCGTTCGCTCGTCACGACGAAGACCCTCGTTCGATTCCCCACATGGGTACAATGTGTAAAAGCGACGTAAAAAACATTCTAACTAACTCATTACATTGAAACCTCGAGAATTCGGCTTTTGTAAACGTTGGCCTTTCCTCCCATATCAATCCGACACGCTGTGATATGACAGAAATACAGATCAAACCGGCGCCAAACCAATCTCATTCACTCATAAACATACTGCTCATTTCATTCTGTTGGGGCGAAAAGGGCATAGGCCCCTTCTGGGAAATGCTGTTACATTAGAACGTGATCTATGTTCTGCTACCTGGGAGAGATAGGTAATCTCCACAATGGTTCTATACACATTGTGTATAACAATATACCATCCCTGTGTAGGACATATTTAACAAAAAACAGGCACCATGTGGCACACAGACCCGATGTCTCGTTACTTGGATTTGTGGCACAGCGGGTTGGGTATTCTTCTGGGTAGTGATATCAGTTTTGTTATGGACGTCCGAAGGTTCCAACCCACTTCACAGCTATTTCTTAACATTACGCAGACTAGTAAACAAATAAAAAACGAAAAGTAAAACCCTTCCATAATCATATAAGAAGTCTCTCCTAAACGCTGAGTCCATTATACAGGACAACACCCTTTCCATAATCCTAAGAAGTCTGTACTATAAGCAGAGCCTATTTCACGATTACCTACATGTTACACGCATGTGTTTATAAATCACTATCGGGGTCACGGTGGCCCAGTCGTCTAAGGGGCCGCGATTCGCTGTGCAGAGTTGCGTCCCTTGGGCACGCCATTAATCTATGATTGTGGGTTCGAATCCCGGTTCGCCCTGATTATGTTTCTAGGTTTGTCAGCACCATACCCGTGCTCGTGGGTTTCACCGAAGTGGTAAACGTCTGAGACCTGCATCTCTTCGGGCTTTCCTCCCACATGAAGCTGACACGCCTTGATATAACTGGAATACTGTTACCCTGAGACGACTGGGCCACCACTAGAACCGGGATTCGAACCCACAATCATAGGTTTCTGGCGTGCCCAGGGGACGCAACTCTGCACAGCGAATCGCGGCGCCTTAGACGACTGGGCCACCCGTGCCCTCTGGGGAAAGAAAAAAAACAGTGGTCCTTTTGTTTATCTGCATGTTGTTAAATGTAATGCACTGATCAACTGGTGTATACGTGTTTATGAAACGCTAACGAATTGCTCATTCCTGTGTCCAGAGACAGTAGGGCACAAATTGCCGCCTCGGAAAATTTGTGTCTCCAGTGGTACGGAGACATTGGTTTGAATATGTTTGGAAAAACCCCGCGGAATATGAGATGGTTGACATCATCGAGCCATATTTCTTCCATGGTGATAATGTTCAAGTATTCGAAAGTTCAAAGAAACTATTTCACCGGTTACCGGTTACCTTGTTTGACATTTAGGAAAGAACGATGTTACAAAGGATACTTAGATAACGAGGGAGGTTATTTGAACAGCATCATGACGTAAGCCCATTACGATGTACCCCCCCCCCCCCCCCCCCCCCCCCAAGTGTACTTTATCGCAATATCTCCTTTTTCCCCATACGAGATGAGAGAAACATGATATTTCACAAGTCATGTGGCATATCCTATTTATTATATACTCTTTGTGTAGTTGTCTACCTACCTGAAAATTAATTATTTCTTTATAAATGTAAAACCTTGAACCGTAAATTCTCCCTACCTGCCACAGGGACGGTTCACCACCCCTTGTATTTGCCACTAAAAAAGTGGTTTCGTGTTTGCAAACTCTTAAAATATATAAACAAAAGTAACAAAACATATTTAGGGTCACGAAACTTCTGTATCATACATATAGATATGATTTTATACAAAATCAACTTTAACCAAAAATATTCTTGAAAACAACTGTTGGAAGCGAAAGAATACACGCTGGTCAAGTATCAAAAATGGCGCTTTGCAAACGAACAGTCTCTATTGAGTTAAATGAGAAATTTACAGTTAATAACGAAACATTTTTAAGAGATTAACAAACGGTACGAAGCGATATTAACTCCATAAATGACAATCTGTCATTAATTTGTCTTGTCAATGAGGAACTTACGTAAACAGGACGTCAACAAATTGTGTTCGGGCTTGTCACTTACGATAAAGGGAGGCAATTTGAGGGGAGGTAACTCTTGTATGACAATAGTTCCGTTAAAGTGCTATGTTCACAGCACTGTGATATCAAGTGTTATGTTCACTGCAGTGAAAATATCTTCGGAAAACTCAGTCTTTCACACTGAAGTATAGCATCAATGTTGGTATCAAGTCGTACTTCAAAGTAACTTCTGAAACCACAGCATCACTAGAGAGGAGTGAGCCTGACCACCCGATCCCGTTAGTCGCCTTTTACGACAAGCATAGTCGCCTTTTACGGCAAGTATGGGTTGCTGAAAACCCATTCTACCCTGAAATCTTCATGGGGTCATATGTAGAACAAGATAAGGTCCACTACGGTGATGTTACACAGGGCTTGTTCCTTCCCTTGTTATACAAGTCATGTATATTACCCTTTGGGACAAGGGTATTAGGTAATTATTTTCAGAAAATGGCAATGAACATTGGCTTTCTATTACCAGCTGATTGCGCCGATTAGCGAGATTACGATATGAAATTGGAGGTGGCTCGCAACTACATAATGTGGATAATCCGTTGTTTGATTACAGGCGGTCGTGATACAACTTGAATATCGCTGACTGCCGAGAAAGCAACATTCCTTTCTTGTTTCCACGGTCGACAGACTTTGTTTGTTGTTTAGCGTCACACTCGGCAACATTCCTTTCACGTGAAGGCGCATTATATGGAGAATGGACCAGGTTTCCAGTGATTGATATTATGAGCAACGATAACGATCCTCGCTGTTGGGCCAAGTCACCGTTCCTGACCACTCCAACTGTATTGCGACCAGCATAGGTTGCTGGGAACCTTGTCTGTACCTGGAATCCCCAAGGTCTGTCAATTAAAGGATTTTGTTGTTCTGTTAATGTTGGATAAAGGCTAAAGGAACAGAATATCTTCTGATTAAATAATATTTGTTAATCACGAAATACATGTATGTATTTGTTGATTTCTTTCACAGGGAAAATACACGATGTACCGGGTTAAAAGTTTGGGTTTTCCATTGTTGTAATTAGGAATCATCATTCGTATTTCTAAAAATATTTCAATTTTTTCAAAAGAAAATGCATATAAAACAAATAACTTTCACTCACTGTCAACGAGCCGTGAAGATCCGGGGTAGAATAGGTCTTCATCAACCCATGCTTGCCGTAAAAGGAGACTATGCTTGTCGTAAGAGGCGACTAACGGGTGGTCAGGCTCGCTGACTTGGTTGATGCATGTCATCGGTCCCAATTGCGTGGATCAATGCTCATGATGTCAACCACTGGATTGTCTGGTCCAGACTCGATTATTTATAGACCGCCGTCATATAGCTGGAATATTGCTGAGTGCGGCGCTGAACAACAAACAAACAAACAAAACACACGTCAACAAAGAGGAATTATTGTGTTTATTCAAATATTCAAACATCCATTGTCAATTTCGACACACGTCAATCAAGTCTACGTTCAACACTATGATCATATACATAACACACGTACCATTGACTGGAATAATAACCTATTATGCAGCTGTTCATATACCGTTACTGACAAACGCTTCAAGTTGTACACGATACGATTTGAATTAAGAGTATCATAAGCAATTTAGACAATAAATGGCAAAATTATACAGAGTATTCTGTCAATGGCAAGCTGTGGACGGCGATCATTTGCATAAACAATGGAATTATTGCCAATATTCGTCAGAACAGAAAGTTTAAATCAATACTCCCATCCTTAAGCAGGGAATCCATATACACTACTGCCTAGAAGTTCATTCCCCTAACACGCGTTGATAACGCGTGTAACACGCATGTGTCACGGGTGCTCAACGGGTTGCACACGGGTTGAGCACCCGTTGGAAACGGGTGTGCAACGGGTGTGCAGCGCGTGTGCAAGCCGTTGCACACGCGTGGGTCACTCGTTGCACATGCGTGGGTCACTCGTTGCACACGCGTGTACCATCCCTACCAGAGAGAGAGAGACCTGGGATTTCGTTTGGAGTCTATTTTTTCTAGATTTTTTCAGCTGCAAATCAAGATATTTCTTTAATTAGCATAATTATTTTCTCATAAGTACGGATGTAGACTTATCCTTGTTACATCGTAGTATAACATTCGTCAGTCGCATGCATCTATCTGCTGTTGGAACAAATAAAAGCACTCACAAATAGTCAAAGGTCAGTCACATTGCAATACTTCCCAGTTGGAATTTGCCAGGCTCCTTACAGCGATAGCCCACACCAACCATGCATGGAGTTGAACTCGCAACCGACTGAGTGTCATGTTTACAAACACGTGATTTCTGCCGTGTCGCCGAATACTCTTTCCGCTGCTAAATTATTTCATATCATCTCTCATGTAATTGGTAAAGTGAGAATGAAAGAGTGGAGCTGGGTGCCTTTCTGTTTGTTTACAATTTCGAACCAACCTGATTAAAGAAATAGACGTAGATTCTTCTGAGAAATAATAGATCAGTCGTCAACCTTTTCTAAATACATTATAATGGTATTCCCAAAGGCATACACAAAACTATTAGTGACACTTTATGTGGGATTAGGATTAGTTTCCAGATTCTTGAAATGGCCGTTTGCGCACCGGTGGCAGCGATAGAAGGTGTCACGCGTTGGTTTTGTCTATAGGGCTGCAATTTGCTGTGCAGAGTTGCGCCCCTTGGGTACGCCAGAAAACTATGAATGTGGGTTCGAATCCCGGTTCGGCCCGATTATGTCTGGGTTTGTCAGCACCATTCCCGTGCTCGTTGGTTTCACCGAAGTGGTAAACGTCTGAGACCTGCATCACTTCGGCTTTCCTCCCACATTAAGCTGACACGCCGTGATATTACTGGAATACTGTTAAAAGCGGCGTTAAACCCAACTCACTCACTAACAAAACTAGAATCATAATCGGGGCGAACCGGGATTCATGAAACTGGAATACTGTTAAAAAGCGACCCAATTCTCTCACTTACTCAATCATATAACACCCGTCCGCGTTATAGCGAGGGCCTATTGCATCCGAAAGTGACGAATAAATTAGCTACATTGCCCGTTCATACCCATTGCATCATACCTAAGGCCCGCCGTTATTCACGGAAAATCCTTTCTTGATTTTCTTCTGTAAAAACTTTCAACAAGTGCAGAATGATCCTGGCAGCCTCGTATTGTCTGCAAACTTTCACATGGGGCCACTATGGACTTACTCTCACATCAAGCAGACACGCCGTGATACAACGGTTATACTGTTCAAAGCGGCGTCATATCTCTCCTAACTCACGAAGACACGTCACTCGCTCACATCAGACACACGTTCCATGCACTACTGTTCGTCACGTTCAGGCACTACTGTTCGTCACGTTCAGGCACTACTGTTCGTCACGTTCAGGCACTACTGTTCGTCACGTTCAGGCATCTCGTCCTCAAGGGGTCCAAGCTCCGCTGCTCGCCTCTCCCAAGACCAACGCTGCCGGGAGCTTCCAGAACAAATTGATACAAGCAGTGTCATGTCATCAGCTGCAAGCTCCAGACAGCGACCAGATTTCCCATGAACCAGTGTGTCTTCCTGAAAGTAGGAATAAGCAATGCGCGTTTATGTGTGAGCTGATGTAACAGATATTTTAACCGATGCACGATGTACGGAGGATTACAGTGGTTTTTAATCAATCGTTATATTATAGGGGATATGACGTCGAAAGGTGAGAAAAATCGGGTTTAACGTTGCGTTTAAGATTATTGCACTTATATTGCGACGTGCATACTCGTGTGCCAATCGCCAGGCAGGGTAACAACAAGTACTATCTTTTAGTCTTTTGGTATGACGCGGCCGGGGTTCGAACAACCGACGTTCGGCTCTCCGGACAGGCCCTCTATCTACATTAATACATAAGTAAGTTCTAAATATGAGGTCGTTTTTTGGGGTAAACAGTCATTTTGGGATATTTTGTCAAATTGTTTCTCGGATTTTAATGATTAAAAAACGCATCAAAGGTGAGATGAAGGTGAAGATGAAGGTGAGGTGAAGGTGCAGGTGAAGATGAGGTGAAGATGAAGAAAAAGGTGAAGGTGAGGTGAAGGTGAGGTGAAGATGAAGGTGAAGGTAAGATGAAGGTGAAGGTGAAGTGAAGGTGAGGTGAAGGTGAGATAAAGGTGAAGGTGAGGTGAAGGTGAGATAAAGGTGAAGGTGAGGTGAAGGTGAGGTGAAGATGAAGGTGAAGGTAAAGGTGAGGTGAAATGGGGTTTAACGTCGCGCCCAAGATTATTGCATTTATATAGCGACGTGCATGCACGTGTATATGTGGCTGCTTGTACTAGTCCAGACTGATGTCGATTTAAAGTGCAAGCACACTGAGATACCTTGCCGCAGTTTAACATGAATACCCCACTCAGACACAGTATGCTGACTCCGAGCCGACCAGTCCTTGTTTAAGCCCCTTAATGCCGAGCGCCAGACAGGGTAACGACAAGTACCATCTTATAACGTATTTTGGTATGACGCGAACCCCGGACCTTCCACTTTTCGGGCGGACGCTCTACCACTAGACCACGGAGGCCGTCCATCAGTATCATAAACAGGTCTATTTGGTCTTAAAGTTCAATGTGTGATTTGTTTGTTTGTCGTTTAAAGCCGCAGTCTGTAAAAAAACGAGTGTGGACCAGGCAATCCTGTGATTAGAATCATGAGCATCGATCCACGCAATTGGGATTGATGACATGCATCGACCAAGTCAGCGAGCCTGACCACCAGATTCCGTTAGTCGCCTCTTACGACATGAGATTTATTCTTAAATGATTAGGCGACGCGAGATAACGTATGTATCATTAAAATTGTGGCCATGACAGTTAAACAGCCCTTAGGACTGAAAATGTTAAAGTTAGTTGGTTGGTTTGTTGTTTAACGACGCACTCAGCAATATTCCAGCTACATGACGGTGGTCTGCAATTGGGATCGATGACATGGATCAACCAAGTCAGCGAGCATCCATCTTCCCGAGGCAAGTGAGTTAACTGACTATAAAAGTTATGGAGTTACAATTTGGCTGGACTAACGAGTCTATCCATAGTCCAGTCAAAAGGGGCAATGAAATCGAAATCCGGTTCGTAAACTTTCATGCAGATTTCGGTCGATTGCAGGATTTGCAAAGCATGTGCACCACCAACTCGTTGTCAACAGATATTTTTCAATTCTGTTCATGTTTTTAATCCAGGTGTTCACATGATTTGATGCACTTCGCGATGTAAGACTCGTTTTCTCACAATACAGATCTTGACTGTCGATCAGATCGTCTTGACTAGGCGCCGCCATTTTGTTAGAAGCAATGTTAAATGATACGAGAGGTGGAATCTGATTGGTCCATAGGAGAGGCATAGAAGGGGCATAACTCGTAATAGCCACTGGTGGCGCTACGATCGAGCCCAGGAATTCCAGCCTAGTTCGGCAAGGGTGGAAACTGGACTTTTAAAGTCAGTTAACTCTCTTGCCTCGGGAAGATGAGTCGCCTTTTACGGCAAGCACGGGTTGCTGAAGACCTATTCTACCCCGGATCTTCACGGGTCGAAAGAAATGTTGAAGAAAAACCAGTTCAAAGTATATCAACATCTAAATCAATGATATGATATTACAAAGTGTTTTCTCCCATGGGGATTCCGGGTTAGAATATGTCCCCAACAATCAATGCTGATCATCATTGGCGACCAAATAGATTGGGTCGTCAGACTCAATGATGTTGTTCATACCGTGTGATCGTACCCCTACGGCGAGGATCGTTGTTCACAAAATAAATCACTGAACTGGACTTTTTACAGGACGCGTCATTTGGCCAGAATATTGCAGAGTGCGGTGTTGAACAACAACGAAACAAAAAACCCAAAATCATCACAAAGTTAATTGGAAATGAGACCTAACTTATTTGGCGGATCAGGTGACCCATTTCACAATTCAATTACTCTTTCTCAGATTCACCCCAATACAACTTTGTAATATTTTACCTTTTTCAACCGATTCCTGATCGTAAAGTACAAGTTAAAGTTGAACAAGCTTCACCCATGAACCCCGGGCCACACAAGCCCCACACACCTCCCGCAGTCTCGTGTTATTATTAAACGTAATTGATAAAGTGATATAGTGGCCGCTGTTGACCTATCATGTCAAACTGGCCTCCGAGGATCACCACAAAACTCCAGCGAGTAAAAATGTACCCAAGGGCTATGTGTCTTGATATTTCCGTAATGCCCTACATATAAATATGTCAACAACACGTCAATTATCTGGAGATTTATCACTACTTCCTGTAAAATTGACAGTACTTTTAATCAACTTGCAATCGCCCAAACTCGAGTTGTAATGGTTGGTTGGTTTGTTGTTTTACGCCGCACCCAGCAATATTCCAGCTATATGATGGCGGTCTTTAAATAATCGAGTCTGGACCAGCCAATCCAGTGATTGACATCATGAGTATCGATCCACGCAATTGGGATCGATGACATGCATCAACCAAGTCAGCGTGCCTGACCACCTGATCCGGTTAGTCACCTCTTACGACAAGCATAGTCGTCTTTTACGGCAAGCATGGGTTGCTGAAGACCTATTTTACCCCGGAATCTTCACGGGTCGAGTTGTAATGGGTCAAGTGGAAATAACCTAACACTCTTAGCATGACGTGACCGTGTCTTTCAGGTTATATATTGTTTGTTTGTTGTTTAACGCCGCACTCAGCAATATTCCAGCTATACGACGGCGATATGAAATAATCGATTCTTGACCAGACAATGCAGTGATTGACATCTTGAACATCGATCTACGCAATTGGGATACGACGACATGCATCAACCAAGTCAGCGAACCTGACCACCCGATCCCGTTAATGGCATCTTACAAGGATAGTCGCAGGTTATATTTTGTTTTTGTTATGCCTAAAATATGTTCACCGTGGGTTGATTTCTCGAACATCTTTGAAACGACTAAAATAGGGTTATATACCTCGCATTTTGGGGAATTATTAAAATGACAAGAACGGCTTGCATACATTCATATCCATGGCATGACGGGAAAGTTCTCCGCTTCTTATCAACTGTTGACTTCTTAGATAAGGAACGAACATGAATTGTACGTTTATGACATTTTTAGAACGACATGAAACATCTTTTGAATATGAATATGATTTTGGTTGTCTCACCTCTTCGTGAACGCCTGGTGTCATCGTTATTTGATTGTGGTTCATTAACGTATGCTTACGATATAGTGGGACTCGTAGATATTTTTTTCAACAACGATATTCCTGGTCCAGATTCGATTATTTACCGGCCGCTGTGATTCAAGCGGAGACATATTGCTGCGGCGTTAAACAACATTCAAAAGATTTCAAGCAGCTTATAGTAGACGTGTGGAGGACATTTCCAAATTTGCTTGACCAATTTTTTTCTGTGTTTATCTATTTTGACTCCTAGCCGACCAATCCTTGTTTTACTCCCTTAATGCCGAGCGCCATGCAGGGAAACAAAAAACAAAACAACCAACCGTCTTTTAACGTATTTGGTGTGACGCGGCCGCGGATCGAACCCCAGACCCTCCGCTCACCGACCAGATGTTTTATCTAGTAGACCGCAAAGGCGGCCTGGTCCTTTTAAGTGTGTGAGTGAGTGAGTTGGGTTTAACGCCGCTTTTACAATATTCCAGTTATATCGCGGCGTGTCAGCTTAATGTGGGAGGAAAGCCCGAAGCGATGCAGGTCTCAGACTTTTACCACTTCGGTGAAACCCACGAGCACGGGTATGGTGCTGACAAACCTTAAAACATAATCGGGGTGAACCGGGCGCTCCTTTTTAGAGCACTAAATAAGTTATTAAAATAGTTACTCTTTCCGCGAACACCTGGTGTCATCATTGATTTTCATTGATCCATTCATATATATTATATCATCATGGTATCACCAAAGTGCGCTTTGCGCATGCCCCTGTGGTGGTATCGTTATTAAATTGGCAAAGGTTTGAGACCTGCATCAATTCGGGCTTTCCTCCAACATCAAGCTGACACGTCGTGATAGAACTAAAATAACGTTAAACCCAACTCATGATCACTCACACACAATTTCAAAAATGTTTGTTTTTTCTGAACTTATCCAGTGAGCTTTAAGTATCTCGTCCATATTACACCCCCGTCCTGCGCTTAACCAACTTAAATCTGCTTCATGGGTCTGGGAATGGTCATGTAATACTAAATCGCTGGTGTGGGCTCTGGGTTTAAGCACGCAAGATCGAAATACATTCAGCGAAGATTTGCGCATTCCGGAGACAACGACCTTGACCTACCGCCGTGTATTTCCATCCTTGTGCGTCTGCGCAGGATGTCACAACGAGGCTTTGCATACTGTCGAAGTCAAGGCAACCGTCATCCCGTCGTATTGTTGATTCTTTGGTTAGCGTGAAATGCTGAAAAAGAATAAAAATATAATATATTAATGGTAAACGCTTCAATCCTACCCTTCTTAACTTATCCAGACTGGAATGGGTCTTCAGCAACCCATGTATGTGGTGAAACGTGACAATTCTTGTCGTAAGAGGCGACTAACGGAATTGGGTATCTGGGTCGCTGATCTGGGTCGATGCATGTTATCATATCCGATTTAGTGAGTGAGTGAGTGAGTGAGGTTTTACGCCGCTTTTAGCAATATTCCAGCAATATCACGGCGGGGGACACCAGAAATGGGCTTCACACATTGTACCCATGTCGGGAATCGAACCCGGGTCTTCGGCGTGACGAGCGAACGCTTTAACCACAAGGCTGCGGCGTTAAACAACAAACAACAAACAAATTAAAACAAAGCAACTGGTGTCAACTGATCGACCGCGTGCACAGTACTGTTACAAGTCCACTGTCTTTGACCTCAACTGAGGAAGACTTGAGGAGAATAATGTTAGCCACTGTCATTATTCTGAGGCTAACGACAGACCATCCTCGATTTTCCAGGGCACTATGTCTCGATTCTGTTATACTGATATTACTATAACATACTTGTTGATCGAAGAGGAGGGGAGACCAGGTGATGTTTAGTTGTTTCTGGTCCAGCACTCGCGATAACGGGTGGCCCAGTCGTCTAAAGCGCAGAGTTGCGTCCCTTGTTTTTAAAACTTATGATTGTAGGTTCGATTCCCGCTCGACCCATTTTTGTTTCAAGGTCTATCAACTATTGCTCGTGGGTTTCACCGAAGTGGTAAACGTCTGAGACCTGCATCACATCCAGCTTTCCTCCCACAATAAGCTGACACGCCGCGATATAACTGGGAAACTTTCAAAATGGCGTTAAACCCAACTCACTCACAGTCTAGGACGACAAAAGCGAAGCAATATATGGCTTTGGTGAACATGATATCGATGTAAAAAAATAAATATTAAGTCGATCATGTATTCACATAGCCTTCACAATGACCCAAACAAGAATTATGTGGGTCATAAACCGGAATTTCCGGTGAATGAGTATAGGTTGATTTTTTCGGTAAACGACATTTTTTAAAGCTACACCAAGGCTGCCTGTTTGGCAATGTGTATGGGTCTGACAAACGCGTGGGTGATAGCATGAGCAATCATACACACTGCGGGTTACAGTGACACAAACAACTAACACTGCTATCGTTGAAGTATATTCCATTCAGTTCCCTCTACAATCAAGGTCTCATGGGGACATGTTCTGTCCCTTGGGGAAAAGCGCTGGTTTTCGCTCTACCAGCTCTCCGGGCGGACGCTCTACCACTAGACCACGGAGGCGGTCGCTGGGACAGATAAGTCAGTAGTTTATATTATGACCTAAACTCCACGCCGTCGGGTCACGATGACACGCATACAACCAAGTCATCGATCCTCACAAAATCTGTTCGACCGCCTCCGTGGTCTAGTGGTAGAGCGTCCGCCCGGAGAGCGGAAGGTCCGGGGTTCGATCCCAAACCGCGTCATACCAAAGGAGTTTAAACGATGGTACTTGTTGTTACCCTGTCTGGCGCTCGGCATTAAGGGGCTTAAACAAGGACTGGTCGGCTCAGAGTCAGTATACTGTGTCTGAGTGGGGTATTCGTGTTAAATGTGGCATGGTATCTCAGTGTGCTTGCTCTATAAATCGGCATCAGTCCGGACTAGTACAAGCAGCCACGTTAAACCCCATTTCACCTCACCTCACCTCACAAATCTGTTCAAAGAAGTCACCTGTGCTGGCAGGACCGGTTTCAAAGTCATTATAAGTAAAGTGCATAGTTTATGTGTTCTCAACATAATGATTTACCATGACGTATGCATTTTCTTCTCAGCCATGATCACAGGGTGCGAACGTATTAAAGTGAAGTTAAATATAACAATACAATCATATGGTGTTTTGTAGAAAAATTGTTTTTGTGGGTCTCATAATATCCATTTCCAGTTTGTTTGATGCTTTGTGCACGTATTAAGCTGTCTCGGGACTTTAAAGTACAACGATGTGTGCCGCGGCTGACAAAGCGTGACTTAAAATGTCGTAAATGAGTTAGGAGTTTTTAACTTTAAACGGCGACTTCACATGCAATTTTTAAACACGAGTTGATTAACTTAAACGAGAGAGGCTTTCTTCAATAATGCAGTTGCAGTGGGCAAGAAGCGCCCTCACCATCGTCCTCACCGTCCCCTAGGCGGGCACGGCAGTCCCATTCGTCTAAGCCTCAGAGATTCGCTGCGCAGAGTTGCGTCCCTTAGGCGTAACAGAAACCTATGATCGTGGGTTCGAATCCCGGTTCTCCCGATTATGTTTCTAGGTTTGTCAGCACCATAGCTGTGCTCATCTGTTCCAGTGAGTGAGTAAAGTTTTACGCCGCTTTTAGCGTTATTCCAGCAACATCACATCGGGGGACACCAGAAATGGGCTTCACACATTGCACCCATGTCGGGAATCGAACCCGGGTCTTCGGCGTGACGAGCGAACGCTTTCGTGTGTTCCACAAAAAAGTGGCGTTAAACCAAACTCACATCTGTTCAATGACATGACTGCAACACTATCGATTCTTTAATGCTGCCTCCAGAAATTCAACCATGAGTGATGTGCTTTCATCTCACACTGAGCCGATACACAATGATGTGTAAGAGACACGAAATACCGTTTACCCACAACTCCCTCACTCTCAGCAAACTCCCCACCCCAAGCCCCCGTACATGTACCTGTATGAGGCTGTAGTGGGTGCAGACATCCGTTGCGACGTGCCTGCCGAAGTCCATGTGGTGTATCGGGGTCTGAACACACCGCTCCGGAACTGCCACATTTGAAATCTGAAAAGTCAACCCGACAGCAAATGAGCATTCAGCATCATCAATCGGAACACATCGGGTATACGTAGTTGTTCTTCCGATATCTCTGTGCTATTAAGTAGCATCCATAGCTTAACCATGAGTTTTTCCGGAAATAGATCCATGGACACAAATCCTGGAGACAATAATTCAAATCTTTTTAATCGATAAATTAATACAGTTTTGTTTTTGATAAACCATAAAAATGACCCCAGGCTATTGTTGTTGCAGTTGATTCTGAGCTGGCAATTCACTGGCAATTCTTAGCATTTTCACGAGTAAAACACAGCTATAGGCCATTATGCAACATTATATAGAAATTGTCAAACATAACAATGTCATGCTTTTAGTTGGAGAAATGACGCGAACCTGTTGCTTCCGGAATAAGAATGGTTTGAATGAGAATTAGAACTTCTGCTTCCGGAATCAACAGATTGGAGTCATTTCTCCATTGCGTAACCTTTCCTATCAATGGCGGAACTCATTTCTGTAATGGAGAATTCTACTTCCGGAATCATTTCTCCATTGCGTAACCTTTCCCATCAATGGCGGAACTCATTTCTGTAATGGAGAATTCTACTTCCGGAATCATTTCTCCATTGCGTAACCTTTCCCATCAATGGCGGAACTCATTTCTGTAATGGAGAATTCTACTTCCGGAATCATATCTCCATTGCGTAACCTTTCCAATCAATGGCGGAACTCATTTCTGTAATGGAGAATTCTACTTCCGGAATCATTTCTCCATTGCGTAACCTTTCCCATCAAAGGCGGAACTCATTTCTGTAATGGAGAATTCTACTTCCGGAATCATTTCTCCATTGCGTAACCTTTCCCATCAATAGCGGAACTCATTTCTGTAATGGAGAATTCTACTTCCGGAATCAACGAATGTCGCGTCTTGACGCACCGAAACCAGCTTCTGTTGCTCTAACAGCTACCACTGAATCAGTAAAGTGTACTGCCTCGTGGTTATATTCATTTACCCACCTTAAAGCTTGTAGAATTGGAATAAAGTCAGCTGCAAATACTGAAATGTAGTCATTAAGCCGAAACACACTGGACATAGAAACGGGTTAGGTGTCAGGAGAAACTGAGTTGTCTCCCTTTTATACCTACAGGTTTAGTGCATATAACATTTATACACAGCCAAATGTTTTCCAGTAGACTTTATGAGGTACAAAACACTATGGCTATGTTAGACAGTTTCCTTTCCGTGTAAAGGAAGCTTAACACTGAGTGAGTGACACCAACCCCTGTTCTGCAACAAATGTCACCTGCTTGAAAATATCTGTGATCACATTCAGCATGTCATCATGAAGATAATTATGCTTTAGACTTGAAGCATATGTTCCTCGGCTTGTTTAGGTGAATACTTGACTTGCCTTTGCATGTGTCTAGGACGGTGCCAACGGTGAGCAGGAAACGATCATCTACTCGCAAACACACATCATCACTCATTGACTATGATTCATACACACTTGCTTTTGGATAAAGTTTAGAAGTTATTGATCGTGACAGCCTTATATGGTTAAACAATACTTTACAATAGGCACCAATACATTCATTCGTAGTGGTTTGTCGTATTTTCATCATTAACATTGATCGATGAGGGAACTCACTCACTCACTCACTCACTCACTCACTCACTCAGGGAGAATCTCACCCTGCCGATAGCGGATCCCCCGGTGAAGATGTACAACTCTGGGTAGACGTTCTTCACGTACCAGTCGAAGGATCGACACTTCAGGTTCTTCCTCAGGGCTTTCCGTTCGGACACATCGCCAAAGTCTATCTGAAATAGAATACATATTTGATACCAAGCTCATTTTATCTCAGGATCTTGATCAGACTTTTGACAAATTTTAATCGGGGATGGTCCTATCAAGGACGGCAGTAAAAATCCTGAATGTGTGACTGAGCCCTAAGGGCTAGAATAGGTCCTCTGGAATCTACGCTTGTCGTAAGAGGCGACTAAGTGGATCGGGTGGTAAAGCTCGCTGACTTCCATGTGATCTTAGGTCGACGGCGTGGTCCGTAGCTCACAATATCAATCCCAGGTTTGACTGCCAGAATCGATTATTTAAACATCTGTCAAAAAGCTGGAATTTTGCTGAGTGCGGCGTAAAACAACTAACGCAATCTATTGTAGATACACACGTGGTGCAGTACCTGTCTGTTGAAGATACACTCGTGGTGCAGTACCTATGTACCTGTCTGTTGTAGATGTACTCGTGGTGCAGTACCTATGTACCTGTCTGTTGTAGATGCACACGTGGTGCAGTACCTATGTACCTGTCTGTTGTAGATGCACACGTGGTGCAGTACCTATGTACCTGTCTGTTGTAGATGCACACGTGGTGCAGTACCTATGTACCTGTCTGTTGTAGATGCACACGTGGTGCAGTACCTATGTACCTGTCTGTTGTAGATGCACACGTGGTGCAGTACCTGTCTGTTGCAGATGCACACGTGGTGCAGTACCTATGTACCTGTCTGTTGTAGATGCACACGTGGTGCAGTTCCTATGTACATGTCTGTTGTAGACGCACACGTGGTGCAGTACCTATGTACCTGTCTGTTGTAGATGTACTCGTGGTGCAGTACCTATGTACCTGTCTGTTGTAGATGCACACGTGGTGCAGTACCTGTCTGTTGTAGATGCACACGTGGTGCACTACCTATGTACCTGTCTGTTGTAGATACACACGTGGTGCAGTACCTATGTACCTGTCTGTTGTAGATGCACACGTGGTGCAGTACCTATGTACCTGTCTGTTGTAGATGCACACGTGGTGCAGTAACTATGTACCTGTCTGTTGCAGATGCACACGTGGTGCAGTACCTATGTACCTGTCTGTTGTAGATGCACACGTGGTGCAGTGCCTATGTACCTGTCTGTTGTAGATGCACACGTGGTGCAGTACCTGTCTGTTGTAGATGCACACGTGGTGCAATACCTATGTACCTGTCTGTTGTAGATGCACACGTGGTGCAGCACCTATGTACCTGTCTGTTGTAGATGCACGCGTGGTGCAGTACCTGTCTGTTGTAGATGCACACATGGTGCAGTACCTGTCTGTTGTAGATGCACACGTGGTGCAGTACCTGTCTGTTGTAGATGCACACGTGGTGCAGTACCTGTCTGTTGTAGATGCACACGTGGTGCAGTACCTGTCTGTTGTAGATGCACACATGGTGCAGTACCTGTCTGTTGTAGATGCGTTCGTGATGCAGGGTCTTGTATTCGTCCATCCACACCTCGGAGACACGGAGACAGTTCTTGTGGAGACGGTCAGCGTCCCCCCCTTTCCCCCAGGACCAGGGGGGCATGTTGCGGAACATGTGACCCACGTGAGAACAGGGGATAATCTCCATCTCGCCCCCACACATCCACGTCTGGAATATAACATTGAGTGAGTGAGTGAGGGTGGTTGGGTGGTTGAGTGAGTGGGGTTTTACGCCGCTTTAAGGAATATTACAGCAATATCACCGCGGGGGAGTGAGTGGGGTTTTACGCCGCTTTTACCAATATTACAGCAATATCACGGCGGTTGAGTGAGTGAGTGAGTGAGTGAGTAAATGAGTGTTTTACGTCGCTTCTAGAAATATAAAGCAATGTCACGGCGGGTGAGTGTTTCACGTCGCTTTTAGCAATATTACAGCAATATCACGGCGGCTGAGTGAGTGAGTGAGTGTTTCACGTCGCTTTTAGCAATATTACAGCAATATCACGGCGGCTGAGTGAGTGAGTGAGTGTTTCACGTCGCTTTTAGCAATATTAAAGCAATATCACGGCGGTTGAGTGAGTGAGTGAGTGTTTCACACATTATACCCATGTAGGGAATCGAACCTAGACCTTAGGCTTGACGAGTTAACGTTTTAATCGCTAGGTTCACAGTGGATGCAGAAACATATTGTTATATGGCAGTGTAATTAATTGTTAAATAATGATTGTAACGTATTACATTGCTTCTGATGTGATTCAGCTAAAGTTCATTGCATTGCATTTGGACAATGATTAGTTGTCAGGTATGTAGTACTATTTAATGTAAGCAGTGGTGAGAAAGCTATTATGTTTATATGCTAGAATTGTCTGTACACTTCCGGAATAGCATGGATGGATGTCAAGCGTAAGAGAAACATGTTGAATATTCTGTGCTGTTCTAGTGACACTGAACTGGTGTAGCACTGTGTGGAAACTGCTGGCCCGTGCCTGTCTCATCTCACATTTTATCTGACATTACATCAAGACCAGCTTTTATATGAAGATCACTTTTCACCCTGGTGTTCAGCCTAGACATCTCGGAAGCCTGACCACTATAGAGGCGGGGTGATTAATATTCTTGTCATTCTCATTTCCACTGCTCTCACATTTTATACTGCCATTGAGTATTGCACAACCACTCTATTGTGTACTGCCATTGTAATTGCTTTGCAGTAAATTGTATTGATTCCTATAACTAGTTAATTTTGTAATTCAGTTGTTGATTGTATACCATTTGATGTTTGTTTGTTGGTTTCAAACTAAATTCTTTTACGTACAGATTTCTGGATTAACATATTGTTGTAATTTTGGAATCGACACGTAACAATATACAGTAAACTACGGTTATAACGAACTCAAAGGGACCGCTAATTATAGTTCGTTATAACCGTAGTTCGTTATATGCATATATAAAACAAGTATACAGCAAATGGCCGGGACCAAAAAATAAGTTCGTTATATCTGTCAGTTCGTTATAAGCGTGTTCGCTGTAAACGTATATTACTGTACTTACTTTAAATGACAACTCTTGATTTTCACAACCCCATATTCTGAGCCCTGGGTCATATTTTCCGAGACGATTAAAATTTGCCTTGGACATAGCAAAACAACATCCTAAATGCGTCGGGGATCTGAAAGTAGATACACAATAATAGTCCTGTCGTCTCTGACAAAAACTGGATTTATTAATATGCATTTTGTAAAAAAATCATGAAACTTGGTATGGCGAAAGATATTGATTTATATGGTATTTTTGGATATTAGCTCAATCATGTTTCCCAAGATGGCCCCGATTTCGAGAGGACCGCCAATATGGTTGAAAATAAGGTTATCAAGTTATGAGAGCGGAAGGTCCGGGGTTCGATCCCCGGCCGCGTCATACCAAAAGACGTTAAAAGATGGACGTACTTGTTGTTACCCTGTCTGACGCTCGGCATTAAGGGGCTAAAACAAGGAGTGGTCGGCTCGGAGTCAGTATACTGTGTCTTAGTGGGGTATTCATGTTAAACTGCGGCATGGTATCTCGGAGAGCTAGCACTATAAATCGGCATCAGTCCGGACTAGTACAAGCAGCCACACATACACGTGCATGCACGTCTCTATATATAAGTGCAATAATCTTGGACGCGACGTTAAACCCAGTTTCACCTCACCTCACTATTACTACTACAGTAACTATTCATAAACTGCCGGGTAAATGAAAGCATACAATTGAAAATTGTATTTGACCAAATCTTACAAACGGTATCAAAACGTTACTAGGCCGACAACTGTCCTGGAAACACCGCAAACTTTACGCCTAAAACACAACGATGATACCCAATTCAAATACATCACCTTTGGATAACCAGTGTTCGTTTTTTCCATTTTTTAGTCACCATCTTTCAGGGTGTATACTTTCTTTTGTCCGGCAATATATTGATAAAACAAATACATTAAGTCCGGTCAGGAAGATAAACACTTATGTAGTACACGCACGCACGCACGCACGCAAGCACGCACGCACGCACGCACGCACACACACATACTCGTGTCAGAGGATATAAACAAAGTTCACAAATAATGTTCAAGGTTTTGCTCTCAGTGCAGGTGTTGTAGAACAGACGAGATAAAACACTGATAAAAATAATAATACCTTCATCTAAGAAACACAATTTTGGTCCAAACAAACATTGATTAGGAAACAAAACTTTGATAACGAAACAAAATGTTGATCTAAGAAGTAAAACTTTGATCTAGGAAACAAAACATTGATCTGAAAAATATTTTTCTCCAATTTCAAAAAAACCCTCCCCTCGTCACTGAGAACTGAGAGAACAAAATAATTTCACGTTTTCCCTAAATGTTCTGATCAGGAACCTCGAATACCCAACATGCAGTGCAATACTTCGACGTAATCGTAAATCCCGATCTAAGGGTTGATGAAGGGACAGCCTTGTTCCCTGATTGCTCAAGGCTGTGTCGATCCTATGGTCTGTTCATAGACAAGTATTCCTGTATGATTATTTTTATATATGGTATTATTATTTCCAAACAAATTCAAAATTGATTCATGGTTCAAAATACCTTACCCCGGGGCCATCCTACAGGCGGCACCCCAGCCATATGTCGTTCTCCGTAAGAGCAGTGAGATCAAATTCATTTGTAATTATATACTCGTTCACTTGTCATAACCCATGACTGATCACTATGAAAATCATTTATTCGATCTTATCAGATATGGTAATTATATTTTTCAATATCACCTCAAGGTACGAACATTTATTGAACTCGTGACATTAATAATTTACGAGCGTCCTATTTATTTCCTAACATTAAATTTAATTTATTACATTTGTGTTTTAGTATGTTTCTCAACAGTGTGAACACGGCAGTGTAAGGGAGATAATTCATACAGCTTGCTAGAAGGAGTGACGATGTATAATATTGTGCTCTCCAAATGGCTTCTGTTTTATTACTTTTGAATACTTATTTTGTAGCATTAATCTGTTGCAATTTATTCTTCATAAAAAAATGACGTATTCTTAACTGATCGCTACGATAGATATTGTGTAGTTTTGTGTGCAAAGGGAGATAACTAGATTCACTTTCAGATCTTCCCTTCAGAATCAAAAGTTCATATTTCTACTACTGCTACTACTACTACTATCAAATTCCAGCAGCAGCAGTAGTAGTAGTAGTAGTAGTAGTAGTAGTAGAAGTAGTAGTAGTAGTAGTAGTAGTAGTAGTAGTACCACTACCAGACAACTACTAGTAGTTTTTTGTTGTTATATTTTTATTTCTTGTTTAACGCCGCACTCAGCAATATTCCAGCTATATGACGGCGGTCTGTAAATAATCGAGTCTGGACCAGACAATCCAGTGAGTAATATCATGAGCAGCGATCCACGCAATAGGGATACGATGACATGCATCAACCAAGTCAGCGAGCCTGACCACCCGATCCCGTTAGTCGCCTCTTACGGCAAGCATAGTCGCTTCTTTCGACAGGCATGGGTTGCTGAAGACCTATTCTACCCCGGATCTTCATGGGTCAGTAGTAGTAGTGGCAGTAGTAGTAGCAGTGGTAGAAGTAGAAATAATAGCAGAAGCAGAAGTAGTAGCAGCAGTAGTAGTAGTAGCATTAGTAGTGAAATAATTTAGATACAGCTTGGATCCAAGGCCTAGATTTGTGAAGAGTTGCTTCCCTTAGCTGTCGGTGTTTCTGCCGGTCGTGGAGGCTTCAGGTGGAAAATGTCTACGATAAACTTTACGTTGTGGCTTCATCGCACAGGAAACTCACGCCGTGATGAAAATGGAATCCACCCCATTCAATCAAAGTCAATCTTACTCCAAAAGGGGCCTACAAAAGATGTTTTGGGGTGCCGTTCACTTACTTGACTGGGTCGAAGACGCTGCCCCTCTCCGCCTCTGCCTTTGTGAGTGGTATCCAGGCGAAATACAGGTCCAAGTCCACTCCGCCCTTGAACATCGTCGTCGGGTCGCTCTTCCAGTACTCGAACGTGTCCGCGTTGATGGAGTCGGTGGTGGGGATGGCCAACAGTTTGTCGTTCTGGCGGATCCGGTCAAGCAGAGGCTCCAACCACACTGCAACACCAACCAGTTAATTTAATAAAATTCGTGAATATGTTCGTTTATTCACGTCTCATTACACCCATTTTATTTTGTTTAACGCCACACACGGCAATACTCCTGCTATATGAGTGAGCGAGTGAGTGAGTTGGGTTTAACGCCACTTTTAACAGTATTCCAGGTATATCACGGTGTGTCAGCTTAATGTGGGAGGAAAGCCGAAGTGATGCAGGTGATGCAGGTCTCGGACCTTTACCACTTCGGTGAAACCCGCGAGCAAGGGTATGGTGCTGACAAACCTAGAAACATAATCGGGGGAAACCTGGATTCGAACCCATGACCATAGGTTTCTGGCGTGCCCTAGGGGCGCAACTCTGCACAGCGAATCGCGGCGCCTTAGACGACTGGGCCACCCGTGCCCCCTCCAGCTATATGATGGCGGTCTGTAAATAATCAAGTATGGATTGGACCAGACAAACCAGTGACGAGATAAGATGACACACGTTTCAAGCAAACAATGCGTAACTGACTACAAATCTTAATCATCTCACCTTTTAATGTTGGCATAAAAACACATACACTTGATCGTGAATGGTACTATGACTATTTAAGAAATAAACGACGAGATAGATTTTTTTATCGTAGAATTAAACACTGCAGGGAGAATAAACCAGGGGTGGTTTACTCTCCCCATAGTATTTTATTGTACGGAAAACAACAACATTATGTACTGTCACTTTAAGGATGTTAGTAAAATGTACAAGCTTTAAAATTATTTAATCGTATTTTAATAATGTTGACTCTCTGAATACAATCCGACCAAGGCAATGTCGGACGAGTCCATTTATTGAACAGGGTGATTATGTTGGGTATTTCCCGGATACGTAAGTTTTACGTCCCTTATCTGTACCTTTTCTCCCAATTACGATTGTCATATCTCTCCCCCTTTAGGATGCGATCGTTCGGCCATTGGTTTATCTACGCTGCCCAGCCACGTATATGAGGAACAACTCACAAGACACTTCTCTCTATAAAAACGTCGTCCAATTTACGAGCTGCGAGCGCATGTTCGAATCTTCAGAAATGACGTCATCATAGAACAATGTTTTATCGTGAAATAAACCACGCTTCGTTCTTCATTGATCTTTGCGATTTATCGCGTATCTATCGTATATTAAAAGGTTAAAGATCGTTAGACTCGCTCGGTTGTGTGTAGCGAACCTCGGTATGTCGCATGGTACTGTTGCCAATGATAGTCCAGATTAAAGAATTATTGCGCGGAATACTACTCGTGTGTATTGTTATGCGACAGTATATATTTGCATTGTAAGTTTATTTCTGATGATTGTTAGTACCAGCAATAATGTGAAGCGCTCGTACAGTGTCCAGAGCTGACGTGGTTTGATTATTTTGTGGTATGCGATAACCAGAAATTAGAGTTACCTCCCCATCTCACTTCCGGGACAAATTCCCTTTTTCGAACCTGTTAAGTGTTTCTAGAAGGCTGGCTGTAATTGGTTTCGAGTAAGACGATGGCGATTCACGGCCCCTACGCCCTGATTTGCGTCTACCTTGCGGGCTCTTGTGCTCTTCTTCACGAGGCCAGAGAGTTAACTGACTAAAAAAGTCCAGTTTCCACCCTTGCCGACCTAGGTTGGAATTACTGGGCTCTATCGTAGCGCCACCAGTGGCTGTTACCAGTTGTGTCTCTTCTAAGCCTCTCCTTTGGACCAATCAGATTTCACCTCTCGTATCACTTGCGTTTGCTTGACTCAAAATGGTGGCGCCCGGTCAAGACCATTTGATCGATAATCAAGATCTATATTGTGATCAAACGGGTTTTACATCGCGAAATGCATCAAATCACGTGAGCACCTTGATTAAAAACATGAAAAGATTTGAAAAATATCTGCTGACAACGAGTTAGCGGTGCACATGCTTTGCAAATCCTGCAATCGACCGGAATCTGCACGACAGTTTACGAACCGGATTTCGATTTCGGTGTGCAATTTTGATTGGACTATGCATAGACTCGTTAGTCCAGCCAAAATGTAACTCCATAATACCAGCCTAGTTCGGCAAGGGTGGAAACTGGACTTTTATAGTCAGTTAACTCTCTTGCCTCGGGAAGATGGAGCTGACGTGGCTTGATTATTTTGTGGTATGCGACAACCAGAAATTAGAGTTACCTCCCAATCTCACTTCCGGGACAAATTACCTTGTTCGATTCTGTTAAGGGTTTCTAGAAGGCTGACTGTAATTGTTTTCGAGCAAGACGATGGCGATTCACGGCCCCTACGCCCTGATTTGCGTCTACCTTGGGGCGATCTTGTGCTGTTATTTTCTGATTTCACAATTAGGATAGCTTGTATTACTTACTCTCCGGTACTTCACAGTGAGCGTCGAGGAAGGCGCACACCTCTCCAGTCACCTCGTCACAGCCAGCGTTGCGAGCCGTCATAAGTCCAACCCGCTCTGTGTACCTGACCAGCTTTACCTTGTCCAGTCGCTGGATATAGTCTGACAGAGGGTGGCCGAGATGGACTGGAACAGGGAAGTATATGGTAGGAGTGTTATGATTGGTGCATCGGAGTATTGCAATCACATAGCATGAAGTAGGAGTGTTATGATTGGTGCATCCCATAGCATCAGGTAGGAGTGTTATGATTGGTGCATCCCATAACATCAGGTAGGAGTGTTATGATTGGTGCACCCCATAGCATCAGGTAGGAGTGTTATGATTGGTGCATCGCATAGCATCAGGTAGGAGTGTTATGATTGGTGCATCGGAGTGTTGCAATCACATAGCACCAAATAGGTGTGTTACGATTTGTCATACTATCTGGGATCTGTCTGACTAGTTCAAGACAAGTTGTTTTTCTCTGAAAGGTAGAGCCAGTTTCCCGGAACAAATACTATTTTTCAAAAGCAAATACAGCTGAATGTCAAATTGTCAGTCCTGACAAAAGACAATACTTGGTAAGGGATCAGTCATGACGACATTGACGCATTCCGCATGAACGTGTTTTCTGTTTATTTGTTGTTTAACGCCGCACTCAGCAATAGTCTAGCTATATGACGGCGATCTGTAAATAATCGAGTCTGGACCAGGCAATCCAGTGATTGATATCATGAGCATCGATCCACGCAATTGGGATACAATGCCATGCATCAACATAGTCAGCGAGCCTGACCACCCGACCCCGTTAGTAGCCTCTTACGATAAACATAGTCGCCTTTTACGGCAAGCATGGGTTGCTGAAGACCTATTCTACCCCGGATCTTCACGGGTACAAGTAGAAGAAGAAGTCTTTATTTGTACTAAGGCCACTGGCCCATATACAATACATACATTTGATATAGTGTGGTACATGAAAAAAAGGTATGGTCAGGTACAAATTTACAAATTTACAGGCTTTTCATAATTACGTCTTCTTTCATAGCTGTAATACAGGTATTGACATAGTTCTAAGTAATTGTTTACATGAATATGACAGGAGCGTTTTAAATGTATGCATATTTGGATTATGGCAAAAAGTTGTTGGTAAATACAGTTGTCTAATATCGTTGTAATATTCACATTCTAAAGTAAAATGATATTCATTCTCTATACTTGGTTCACATACGGGGCAGAGTCGTAAACGTAAATCAATATCAGCCCATCTACCTTCGTTTACCTTAAGTCTTAGTAGCCCGGCTACATGTACATGTATAGATATTTGTTGTATATTGTAACGTTTATGCTTTCAATTTCATTTCCCGGAGTACGGATATTTACCAATTATAACGTATATATATATATATATATATATATATATATATATATATATATATATAACGTATTTACCAATCAAACAATATTTTTGTTGGCTCGATTATTTTTAATTTTCTGAACAGTGAAATAGAAATAAATGAAAGAAGTGGAATTCTTGGGATGACCCGTCAATGACAAGTCGAAGAGTTGCTTCCCTTCTCATGTCGATCTGCTCCTGCATGATTCATATTACAGAGGAAGGGACTATACTCCACGGACCTTTCCAGCTTAGATTGGATTCTGCTAGATTGATAAATAACATAAACCTTGAGCCATAACAAAAGTGGGTTTTAAAAACTTCAATCAAATTTGCTGTAGGGCCAGCAGTGTATCAAGAGTCGCCCCCCCTTTAATCTACGCACCGGGCTGGTAATTTAATCATTTGTGAAATTTGTGAAAGCCATACTCATACCAGATGAGGGGCGGTCGGGTAGCCTAGTGGTTAAAGCGTTCGCTCCGAAGACCCGGGTTTGATTCCCGACTTTGGTACAATGTGTGAAGTCTATTTCAGGTGTCCCCCCCCCCCCCCCCCTCTCCCCACACACACACACCCGCGTGATATTGCTGGAATATTGCTAAAAGCGGCGTAAAACCATACTCACTCACTCACTCACTCATACCAGATTGACGCGTGGCGGTGTTGAGAATTATGTAATTTGATTTAGGTCTGAAGTGATGTAATAACTGAAAAAGTAAGACCTCTTAAACACGTAGTCATATGGGCTATCGAAGTACGTCTATCTATCCGGAGTTCGACACGTGCAGAGTAAACAATTAGCCGCATCCCAATGATGCCTTGTCGGGACCATAAAATTGTTTTGTAAGTAGTATAGAAAACATATGAAATAGCAGTTTTTAAAATAATATGATAACTAATCATTTTCAAGATCCACAAGGTTGTATATGATTTGAAGAACCAATCGGAGCGTTTGTCATCATCATTTAAAAATAGATCAAAGGGAGATAATAAACCTTTATCTGATGCGTCATCCACTAAAACAATCTCTGTTAAGAGCTCCGGTGCAGTGTTATCAAGAATACTATGCACAGTGCGCAGGAGCGGACTCCAAGCCTCGTTATGGAATATGACGACAACACCAGCAGTTGGGAGCTTCCTATAGTCGTATTGTCTCGCCAGGCACCTGCAAAAACAATAATTCAAAGCCTTTAATCGTCAAAACACATACTGGATTTCACTTAAAGACGGATTTGGCACGGACAAATTGGTAATCTTGGCAAGTGTGATTGAAGAACAACCTTAATGGGAAGACCCGAGAAAGTCTGAATAAAAACTCATCGTCAATACTTTACAGCAATTATACAGTTCCTTCATCATCCGCCAATACATACGGACATTAGCGATATGGTCGCTCTTTTGATACAATATGTTTCGCTATTCTGTATTCGCCATCTTTACACAATGACTGTGGGTGCGGTGGGTTAGCGATGTGGTTAAAGCGGCCGCTCGCCACGCCGGAGCCCCGGGTTCGACTCCCATGCGGGTACGTACAGTGAGTGAAGCTTATTTCTGGTGTGTTTCGGGGCGGTCGGGTAGCCTAGTGGTTAAAGCGTTCGCTCGTCACGCCGAACACCCGGGTTCGATTCCCGACATGGGTACAATGTGTGAAGCCCATTTCTGGTGTCCCCCGCCGTGATATTGCTGGAATATTGCTAAAGGCGGTGTAAAACCATACTCACTCACTCTGACTATCGTAACTCTGTTTTTTTAACGCAGATTTGACAACAATGGTAGCCCCAGGGTCGCTTTGTGGATTTACATGGAGGCAGAGTGCCCACTTGCACAAAGCAATCTTAGCCCAACGACAATCGTAACGCTTTGTCACATATTTGTGCCCCCAGTTCCCGGAGCGCAAAGATCGCTTTGTGGAACGGAACCAAGAAATGTTACACCAAGAGCGGGGTTCAAGCTTAGCGAACAACGGACTCAATTTAAGGGGAACACATCAACCCGAGGCAAGTGAGTTAACTGACTATAAAAGTCCAGTTTCCACCCTTGCCGAACTAGGCTGGTATTATGGAGTTACATTTTGGCTGGACTAACGAGATAATGCATAGTCCAATCAAAATCGCGCACCGAAATCGAAATCCGGTTCGTAAACTGTCATGCAGATTTCGGTCGATTGCAGGATTTGCAAAGCATGTGCACCGCTAACTCGTTGTCAACAGATATTTTCTATATCTTTTCATGTTTTTAATCAAGGTGCTCACGTGATTTGATGCACTTCGCGATGTAAGACTCGTTTGATCACAATATAGATCTTGATTATCGATCAGATCGTCTTGACTGGGCGCCACCGTTTTGTTTGAAGCAAATGCAAGTGATACGAGAGGTTGAATCTGATTGGTCAAAAGGAGAGGCATAGAAAGGACATTACTCGTAATAGCCACTGGTGGCGCTACGATCGAGCCCAGGAATTCCAGCCTAGTTCGGCAAGGATGGAAACTGGACTTTTTTAGTCAGTTAACTCTCTTGCCTGGGGAAGATGAGGGGAACATGGTTGAGGCAATTTGGCAGTCCTAGCAAATATAATTCAAGTCTTTAAACCACCACTGTACTAACGTAGATCAATCGCGCAGTACATACATACCTAATAAGACAATGTTACAATTTCATTAGACACAGTTTTAGACCTAGATTGAATATAGGCAGTAGATGGTGAAGCGTTGTCCTTCTTCAATATCATTTTTGGTCCTGTGGGCAAGGAGTCAGAGGGTCAGCGGTTCGAATCTGAAAACGGGATGGCACAGATAGCCCAGTCTTCTAAGGCGCCGCAGTTCGCTGTGCAGATCTAGAGTTGCGTCCTTTTTGCGTACCGGAAACCAATGATCAAGTATTCGCATCTCGGACTTCGGAGCTCGGTACTTGTCAGAACCAAACCAGGTTCCTCCATCTTCCCGAGGCAAGGGCGTTAACTGACTGTAAAAGTCTAGTTTCCACCCTTGCCGAACTAGGATGGAATTTATCGATTCGACCATAGCGCCACCGGTGGCTATTACAAGTTATGTCCCTTCTATGTCCCTCTTATTGACCAATCAGATTTCCACCTCTCATATCACTTGCTTTTGCTTTAAACAAAATTGCTGCGTCAAGTCTGATCGATAATCAAGATCTATATTGTAATGAAACGGGTCTTTCCTCGCGAAGTGCATCAAATCACTTGAGCCCCTTGATTTAAAACATGAACAGATTAGGAAAATATCTGTCGACGCCAAGTTTACGGTACACGTGCTCTGCAAATCTTGCACTCGCCCGAAAAGTGCACTTTCGTTACGTGATTTTAATTGTATTATGCATTAGTCCTGTCAAAATATAACTCCGTTATTGCAGCCTAGTTCGGCAAGGGTGGAAACTGGACTTTTATAGTCAGTTAATTCCCTTGCCTCGGGAAGATGGGTTTCAACGAAGTGGTAAACGTCAAAGACCTGCATCAGTTTGGGCTTTCTGCCCACTTCAAGCTGACACGCTCTGATATACCCGGAATACTGTTCAAAGCAGCGTTAAACCCAACTTCCCCACATTAAGTGTTCAACTGACTTACTCAGGCTCTGTTATATTAATCAGTCTCCTTCGGAGCGGGATGAGATCGCTGGCGAACTCGTTGAAGTTGTGATCCTGATAGCCCCTGTCGTACAGGGCCTTTTCCACGGGAGATAAATTCTGTGGATCAATGATAACACCCTGTCCACCATAGCCTGTAATACAAACAAATCTCTATGAAATCATATGTATGTTTTTATATAATTTAACAAAAGATAATATTCAAGAAATTTTTAAATGTAGTTGTTCAACCTAATGGGGAACGCAGGTTGCTTAGTCGTATGAGGTACCGCAATCCGGTATGCAGAGTTACCTCCCTTACGTGCGTGGCGTTTTCTCGAAAAAAACAAATTGTTCCGAAAATTCTTGAAAAACATATGAATGTTTCAGAATGTTGAAAAATACGTTGTTGCAAGATGCATTTCTTTTAAAAAAAATCAGGCTCATCGTTTAAAATAAAAAAATATATCTGGTTTTGTAGTTTTAGCTGCAAAAAGTATCTAATCTCGATACAAAATAAAAGGCTGCACCCTCCCCCGCGAGAATAACAAACGGTCGGTGATTTCACTGAAATACGACCGCCTCTGTGGTCTAGTGGTAGAGCGTCCGCCCGGAGAGCGGAAGGCCCGGGGTTCGATCCCCGGCCGCGTCATACCAAAAGACGTTAAAAGATGGTACTTGTTGTTACCCTGCCTGGCACCGGCATTAAGGGGCTAAAACAAGGACTGGTCGGCTCAGAGTCAGTATACTGTGTCTGAGTGGGGTATTCATGTTAAACTGTGGCATGGTATCTCAGTGGGCTTTCACTATAAATCGGCATCAGTCCGGACTTTCACCTCACATCACTGAAATACAATGCAACGTAGAGTTGCGTCCCTCTGAAACCTATCATTGTGGGTTTGAATCCCAGTTCGCCCCGATTATGTTTCTAGGTTTGTCAGCACCGTGCTCGTGGGTTTCACCGAAGTGGTAAACGTCCGAGACCTGCATCACTTCGGGCTTTCCTCCCACATTAAGCTGACACGTCGTGATATAACTGGAATACTGTTACAAGTATACTGTTACTTGGTATTAAACAAGAAAATGTGTAGACACATTTCTCAATATGGGTTTGTGCATTTAGTATGACTGTCTGGTGTATTTCAACAGATATAGCACAGTTTGTGGTGTTTATGAAGACGAAGGTGTGATATGCCCACCAACATTCACAAAAGATAACATCTATCATAATCCCTGCTCTACAACAGCAACATATCCACTTCATGGTACCAGCATTTCACTATTGCAGCAGCGTCCACCAGCTGAAGGGGGGTGGGGGGCTGGGTGGGTTGGGGTGGGTGTTGTTCATTTATTACTTAGTGAGTGAGTATGGTTTTACGCCGCCTTTAGCAATATTCCAGCAATATTACGGCGTTGGTCACCAGAAATGGGCTTCACACATTGTACCCATGTCGGGAATCGAACCCGGGTCTTCGGCGTGACGAGCGAACGCTTTAACCACTAGGCTACCCGACCGCCCCATTTATTACTGAAGAAAGCACACATACAAGGAAAACCTGTTCCAAACAGGCCATAGTATATACCTATGTACCCCCATCCTGTTTTAGCAAGATGGGTAATTATGTGCCTCATTTAAAAGGACATTTCACCCAAGATGTAGATAGTGTTAACACAATGCCTGACCATGAGGAAAACTAGTCACATCACATGAAAGAAGTACTTGGAAAACAAGACATACATATCCTCCAACAACAATTACCAATATGCCAATGTTCTAGAATGTGCACAGTCTCTTGCCATGATACAGCATTCAATTAATGAAGTACAAAAAGGGTATTGAGCATTTGAATCCTGGTCCGATGCATGTGCTTGCCTTGGAAGAACCACTGTACACAATTGCTAAAACAATCAAGTGGAACTGTCTTGAATTATATGATGAGGTTCCTTAACATTTTTGGTAGATTTGCATATTGAAAAAGATGCTTTCAGGATTCTCAGAAACTGTCCCAAAGGAAGTAGATGGAAAACTGCAATCTGTTCTGCTGGAATTGGTCAGGCAGATTTCCTGATTCCTTCCTCATGTGTACCCACCTTGCTACAACATCAGGCATATGCTCAATGTAAGGAACAGAGGCAAACACAGAAGATCCTTTCAGAAATTGATGTGCACCATATTAAAGTGCTCAGCCCCGGTTTCACTACTTGCCCGTTGTTCCTGAACAAGAACTTTGCATATTGCGCCTGGTGAGTGCAATTCAAAAAGCAGATTTCCTTAAGTTTGCAGCATCACTTGTTATATTAATGGCTTGCATTTCACAGATATGTTCCCCTTACAGTAGAGCACGAGCACCGCTGTACCACGAATATTGTTCCGTTGGATTAATGACACACAAGACTAAACGGACATTCTCTGGTGTGGCACAAGATCAGACACATGAACAATTCAATGGTCGTATGAAGTAGATGGAGGTGCAGTTGGATTGACTGAAACAACCGAGAGTTTTCTTCTAGAGGCCCACGGAATACAAAGACATTATCACTATGTCATGCCTTCACCGGTTAATATGCTTGGAATACGTGTAAAGTATTTCCTGAAGTCACCAATGCTTTCCCATCATTAGCAGATATCTCTGACAACACAATGCAGATTCTTGAGAGGTTTGTCGTTCTCACTGGTTTATTTGAAAGGTCAATGAAAGGCAAAATCTCTGTTCATGAAGATCTCAGACATTTGACAACATTTCAACCCAACGAGGCAGCTCTAAGACAGCACCAATACATTATGGGGGCAGGTGCTTGACAAACGTCCCACGCTACAGAATCTTGTAGTCAGGGGTTGGGAGAGGACATGCAGTAATATATAGATACCCAAGTGGACAACACTTCGTCAGGCACAAAGAAGTGTTATAAACTCACACTACACCTGTAAGAAGTCTTGCAAGCCTTTGTAAACTTTACACTACCGGTCTTGAGTGCAGTGCTATGTGATACTTTGAAGGAAGTGTTCTTTGTAACTGAATAAGAGAACCGTAAACACATACATTGAAGCTATATTCCTGGTCATACTTAAGTAGGAAGTAAGTTGATATCATAGGTTCATGGCAATAATGTCAATAATACTTAAACATACATTTAAAGGATGTTTAAACATATGAATCTATTCCCAGATGATTATGAATGATTTTGTTCTAATACAATGGATACAGTTCACATTATTCATTAAATTGTTCTCCAGAACACGGCATATTAAAAAAAACTAGGTAGAAAATTTCTCAGTAGACCATTTATAAAATAATATGCCGAGTCATTATACGAAAAGATCCTGCACAATACATATAAACTGATACAATTTCATTTAAAATATGTTTTATCATTTCAAAACTTATCAACTTATCCTAAGTCCAAAGATATCAAATGATATCTACATCTGCTGTAGAAATAGACAATTTCCTAAAACAAAAACATATTGAAGGCCATCTTGGATTTTCGGCATCACCAGGGGGCGCTGCATACCAGATTTGAATTATATAAAGCATGGTAGCAACTGATCCTGAAAAAGATACTTTGATAAATTGTATGAATTGACCAGAAAATTATGATATAATGAGAAAAGATTAAAGTCATTAGAGATTTCAACCATGTTGGCGGCCATCTTGGACTTTTATAACCACCAGAGGGTGCTGCATACTAGATTTGAATTATAAACAGGATTCTTGTGATAACTCCTAAATACATTACAATGATAATTTGTATAAATTGGCCAGATAACTATGATATATTGAGTATAGATTGATATCAATAGAGATTTCAGCCGTGCAGGCGGCCATCTTGGATTTTCTACCACCAGGAGGCGCTGCAAACTATATTTGAACTATAAACAGCTCTGCTGCAACTCGTGCCGCATGCATTCCTATGGATATATGTATAAATGGATCAGATAAGTATGATATATTGAGTATATATTGATATCATTAGAGATTTCGGCCATGTTGGCGGCCATCTTGAATTTTCTACCACCAGAGGGCTCTGCTGAGGTGGATCCATATCCAAAAATGTTTAGAATGGTTCAATGTATAAGTGTGCCAAGTTTGGTGCTTTTTTCCCAAAGTGCACAATTTTAACCACTTTTACGTGTATACGAATTAACTCGTAAATTTTACATAATTATGTAATCTGACCGAGGGAAAGCGAATGTCAACTCGTTTCGTAAATATATGGTATCTGGCGAGAACGAGTGTTGTATTATATTTATTCCCGCATTTTAATTAAGGATTGACTGTATTTATTCGGTTTATTGAGGTAGAAAATCCGATGTGCAAACTGTGTGTATCTGACTAGCCCTGTATACATGTGGACTGTCAATACAATGTACTGTGCTCTCTATACAGCACCATACCCGTGCTCGTGAGTTTAACCGAAGTGGTAAACGTCTGAGACCTGCATCACTTCGGGCTTTCATCCCACATTAAGCTGACACGCCGTGATATTACTGGAATACTGTCAAAAGCGGCGTTGAACCCAACTCACTCACTCACTCACTGAACCCAGTGCTTAGTGCACCAGGGGGGACAGCGCGTATTGTTAACTTATATCAGTGTTTCCGGTTCGTTTCCTGGATATGCAATCCAATATATACACGTAAGAATAAAATAAGAAAAACGTTGGTTTTTTTCTTTTTTTATCCTTACGTGTATTTATATTAACTAAATTTTACATATCTTATCTGACCGAGCGAAAGCGTATGTCAACTCGTTTCGTAAATATATGGTATTTGGCGAGAACGAGTGTGGTATTTTTTTAATTTTAATTAAGTATTGACTGTTTATTTATTCGGTTTATTGAGGTAGGAAATCCGATGTGCAAACTGTGTGAATCTGAGTAGCTCTGTATACACTTGACCTGTCAATACAATTTGCTGTGCTCTCTACATGTAGACGCGATTAAAGGCGAACTGTGTTCCACTATACAGTAGACTACGGTTATAACGAACTTGAGGGACCACTAATTTTAATTCGTAATAACCGTAGTTCGTTATATGCATACATACAGCATATATAAACAAATGGTCGGGACTAAAAATAAGTTCGTTATATCCATCAGTTCGTTATAAGCGTGTTCGTTATAGCCGTTGTTTACTGTATTTGAAAAATATGAAGAAAGAAACATCAGAGGCGCTTCCATGTGATTGGTGTGACCAAAAAAAGACAGTTCGTTATATCCGTCAGTTCGTTATAAGCGTGTTCGTTATAAACGTAGTTTACTGTACTAATGAACAGCCTTCAGGAACACCTCGACCTGTCGACTTTACCACGGTCTACTAGTATACACGCACAGCATTCAATGAAACAGCAGGGTGCACAGTCTCCTTAGTATTGTTTCCCTGACAATTATTTATGACATTCTTGCGCTGGGATTATTCTCCGCGTGTCATTAGAATGGAGAGCTTTGCACATGTGCTTATGGACACACCCACCTACGGAACATAAAGGGTTCTGGCGAAAGGGCTTTATAAGGCTTTTCACCCTCGGTGTTTGCGTTTGAGAACTTATATTGGTCTAAGCTTGCTGAGTTCTTAGATAAAAGAAAACTCCCATTTATTAAATCCAATGTTATTAAAGGACGGGACCGACTGAATTCAACGTTTCAACATGATTTATTATAGTGTGATAATAAGATTGTACGCTCACAAACATCAGCTCCACAGCCCCCTCACCCTTAATCCCCCCCCCCCCCCCATTCCCCGCCCACAACCAACACTCCCCACAACACCCCAGTCTTCCGATTGTCTGTTTGCTAACTTGGTTTATATTTCGATAAAACTGTGTGTTGTTTACAATAGTATGGAAAACAAATATCACGACACTGTCATTTACATGATGTTTATTGTATCTTGTTGTATATAACTGGGACTACTTTTTGTACAACTGGGACTGTCAGATATAGCCGGGACTACTTTTACATCTTGGACTGTCAGATATAACTCGGACTACTTTTTTTACAAATTTGACTGTCAGATATGACTGGGAATAATTTTACATCTGGATTGTCATATATAACTTGGATAACTTTTACATAAAGGACTGTTATATATAACTGGGACTTCTTTTACAAATTTAACTATCAGATATGTCTGGGACTACTTTTACATGTGGGACTATCAGATATGTCTGAGACTACATTTACATGTGGGACTATCAGATATAACCGGGACTACTTTTACATCTGGGACTATCAGATATGACTGGGACTACTTTTACATGTGGGATGGTCAGATATGACCGGGACTACTTTTACATCTGGGACTGTCAGATATGACTGGGACTACTTTTACTTCTGGGACTATCAGATATGTCTGAGACTACTTTTACATGTGGGATGGTCAGATATGACCGGGACTACTTTTACTTCTGGGACTATCAGATATGACTGGGACTACTTTTACATGTGGGATTGTCAGATATGACCGGGACTACTTTTACATGTGGGACTGTCACATATGTCTGGGTCTTCTTTTACATCAAGGACTGTTATATATAACTTGGATTACTTTTACATCAAGGACTGTTATGTATAACTGGGACTTCTTTTACAAATTTGACTATCAGATATGTCTGGGACTACTTTTACACGTGGGACTGTCGGATAAGACTGGGTCTTCTTTAATATCTGTGACTATCAGATATGACCAGGACTACAGTAAACTACGGATAAAACGAACTCAAAGGGACCACTAATTTTAGTTCATTTTAACCGTAGTTCGTTATAAGCACATATACAGCATAACTACAGCAAATAGTAAGTTCGCTATATCCGTCAGTTCGTTATAAGCGTGTTCGTTATAAACGTAGTTTACTGTACTTTTACAAATTGTACTATCAGATATGACCGGGACTACTTTTATATCTGGGACTATCAGATATGACTGGGACTACTTTTATATCTCGGACTATTGTTTATAACAGGGACTTCTTTTACAAATTTGACTGTCAGATATGAATGGGAACAGTACTCAACATTATGTTGTAAAGTAATTAAAATGTCAATAAACTAATGAATACATACTGGTATCTACTTTATACTGATACAATTCACACAGAAAATTAACAATGCTATTTAAATGTTTATTCAATCCTAATATTGCATATTCTCGCGTTTGTCAAGCTCAAACTTGATTGTGCACATAAGGCTGAGATAAATGAATACATACTGGTATCTACTTTATACTGATACAATTCACACAGAAAATTAACAATGCTATTTAAATGTTTATTCAATCCTAATATTGCATATTCTCGCGTTTGTCAAGCTCAAACTTGATTGTGCACATAAGGCTGAGATAAACAATGAATCTGCGTTAGTGTGAACCTCGTTGGTACGGAAACACCCCTATGCGGACGAATACTGTTAAGAGCGTCTACATGTATACGAAGGTCATAACTCAATGATTTGTTAATCCAGGCAGTTGTTAATCCAAACATTTTCTCTTGGAACGGTAATGAACAGATTAACGGGGTTCCACTGCAGTAACATTAAGAGGGCCGTACAATATGATTCACTCAGCAACACTTACCTCTTGAATTTGGGTCATTCCACGGGTCATTCGGGGGATGATTATGATGCTGAAAACCACGATCATCATGAAATTCCCCAAGTCCAGCTAACTCAACCGCTCGCATTAACAAAGTCCTATTTTTGGTTAAAAGTTGCGCCATCGTTTCCTCCAAACGAATCTGGTCATGCTTGGTCCCTTGCGCTTCCTCATATCTACCTAATGTGTTAATAAACGTCACAAAGACAACAGCAAGCCAAAAACAACACACCAACAGAATGTAGCGCACGAACGTATGCAACCTCATCGCGAATGAATAACGAAAACTCAGTGGGACGTTTGGCGAACGCTAAGCCCAGCTCTTAACTCGATATTGATTTCTCTGACGGACCGTACATGAACGAGGTGTTCGCCAGGGCGCCACGTTGATGCCGCCCGTGTTGAGTTTATACAACTCCTTGCCAGGTTGGATTCCGGTGGCGGTGGATTAACTTGCTTTGAAATAAATGTTTGTTTGAAAGTTGTTGGTTAACTCGGGGACATTACTGAGTATAAATTGTGACAGCGAAACGTCCGAGCATGTGTGATGGTGATGAAGCGGTGAGGCGGCTGGTCAAATCTTTCTCCAAAATGACGTTGAACGAGAACGATTAAGTCATGAGTAAGTAAGTAAGGGTGAGATTTATGGATGAACAACTTCTTTATCACAATTAGCAGAGACGTTTCGGTGTAGGTTCTAACACCGTTATCAAGCAAGTGACCCTTACTTAGTACTCCGACTTCTAAATGTCTCTTAAAGAAGAAAGTCATGAGAAACTTTTGATAGGTTCGAACACCGTTATCAAGCAAGTGACCCTTACTTAGTACTCCGACTTCTAAATGTCTCTTAAAGAAGAAAGTCATGAGAAACTTTTCAAAAGGCCTCCTTTCAATTATTCATTAATTGTGTGGTTTATTGATACAGTTCAGCTGTATATCTGTGGTCGGGATTCGTTATATGGGAGGTGGGGGTGTATTGTTCTGACCACCTTACTCCGTTAGTCGCTTCTCACCACAAGCCTATACACAACGTTTTGTTAACTCGTCACGCCATAGACTCAGGTAATGTGTGTTAAGCCCATTCTTGGTGTCGCTTGTCGTGACGTAGCTGAAATGGTGCCAACAACGGTCTAACTACCAACTTACTCACTCAGCTAATTTATACGTATGTATAATACGTATTTTACAATCAGACTGAAATCAGAAATTTTCATTTTTTTCTGGTCATATACAGAGAAACCTCGGTAATGCGGACCGTAATGTTGTACAGTGACACCGTACAGTGACATCGTCCGGATTAACGATTTCCGGATAAACAAACTTAAGCGTTCGTAGACATGTCTCTTTCATAATATATTATATTAAAATATACTTTCCCAACAGTAACCGTTCGAGGGGCCGAATTTTCAGACTTACGAGGTTTTCGGATAAACGGGTTTTCGGACAAACGATGCTTGTGGAATATGGGGATTTCCGGATTAACTGGGTTTGCGGACTAACATACCCCAGATTAATGGGGTGCCTGTATGTGGTTTATCCTTATCTATCTGAGCTGTTACAAACATAATCCTCTAGACTTTACAGTTTCTAAAACAAGATGTGCTGTGTACATTCTGTCTGAGTTAGACATCTAAACGTACTTGTGCCAATGAAAGTGGTAATCCTCTATGTGAAGATACAGATCCTCTGAATTAAGCTTAACATTTACTGCCAACGTTCAGTGCCCGTGTTTTACCGTTTATTGTCGTACATCACACAGAGATCATCGGTCAGGACAGTGAGTAAGTGAGTATGGTTTTACGCCGCTTTTAGCAATATTCCAGCAATATCACGGCGTGGGACACGAGAACCCGGGTCTTTGGCGTGACGAGCGAACGCTTTAACCTCTAGGCAACCCGGCCGCCCCCTCAGACACTGAGTGAGTGAGTGAGTGAGTGAGTGAGTGAGTGAGTGAGTTTTGTTTAATTCATTGCAATAGGCATACGCGTATGTGTGTGTGTTTGTTTGTTTGTTTGTTGTTTAACGCCGCAAAACATTCCAGCTATAGGACGGCGGTCTGTAAATAATCGAGTCTCGACAAGAAAATCCAGTAATTGACATCATGAACATCGATCACGCAATTGAGTGAGTGAGTGAGTGAGTTTTGTTTAATCCATTGCAATAGGCATACGCGTATGTGTGTGTGTGTTTGTTTGTTTGTTTGTTGTTTAACGCCGCACAACATTCCAGCTATAGGACGGCGGTCTGTAAATAATCGAGTCTCGACAAGAAAATCCAGTAATTGACATCATGAACATCGATCACGCAATTGAAGGAGTGAGTGAGTGAGTTTTGTTTAATCCATTGCAATAGGCATACGCGTATGTGTGTGTGTGTTTGTTTGTTTGTTTGTTTGTTGTTTAACGCCGCACAACATTCCAGCTATAGGACGGCGGTCTGTAAATAATCGAGTCTCGACAAGAAAATCCAGTAATTGATATCATGAACATCGATCACGCAATTGGGATATGATGTCATGCATCAACAAAGTCAGCTAGCCTGACCACCCGATCCCGTTAGTCGCCTCTTGCGACAAACGCATGCACAATGTATTCATGTGAACAACCAGAGGCTCTGCGACTTTGCGTCTTTGCCATTTGTTCACATTTTGCAAAACTATCTTTTTTAATTGCAATATTTCAACTATCATTATATTCCTGATAATTTTCAGAAACATTTTGTCCTTGGATCACCATAGGTGAGTGAGTCAGTTAGATTAAACGCTGATTTGAGCAGTTTATATTTCTCGCCTTCAGCTTACTGTCGGGGTATGCACAATATCGAGGTCACATGATATGTCCACCCGATACACAATGATGTCCGTTCATAAGACAAATGGTTCCGAATGACAGTTCGTTTGTCAGCACCATACCCGTGCCCGGGTTTCATCGAAGTGGTAATATAAACGCCTGCATCACTTCGGGCTTTCCTCCCACATCAAGCTGACATACCGTAATATAACTGGAATACAGTTAAAGCGGCGCTAAACCCAACTCACTCACTCACTCATCAACGCTGAGGAGAATTGAAAGGACAAAACATTATCAATTCACACTGAAACCTTCACGTCGCCTGTTCACTTTGACCAGTATCTCAACTCACTCACTCACTCTAACGACAAACATTGGGCCTGTTTCGCATCGGAATAACAACGAAGACACCACGTAGAGAATAGAACCTTGATTAATCATATGACGATAAACGAACTAACCTTTTTCCCACTTTATCGAAACCTTAACACACAAAGACCCTACACTGATTTGATATGTACATACGTGCCGCCGTTGACATATGTAGGGTAGGTGGCATCCAATCTGTCCATAAATCAACTAAAACTTCCCATTCGGCATGCTTGTTTCAATGATGAATCAAACATATATTTGTCTGTATCAAACATGTTTGGCGTTCGTGTACGACTGAAAGCAAGACCTGTTTTATCTAGAAAATACATGTCTTGACGGAGGGGCATTTGTACAGAATTATTTATTACGGTAACTTTAAATTTAGTTAAACAGGCAAGACCCTGACAAGGTTTGCGATTTTTTTGTCCCGATTTCATTTTTTCTCTCCTGTTTTTAATTAACCAAAGTTCAACAGTTTGTCCGACATGCACTCATACATACTCCAGTGAAATAACTGAGTGCCCAAACTGGGGCAAAAGGAAGTATACCGAGTTTGTTTTTTATGTATTTGAAAATTAAAAGAACCGTTGTCAATTTTGACAGTTTGATTGTTTGTAAAAATAAACTGGTTCAATGAAAACTGGAGTAAGAAGTGGATTTGCACCTACATGACCTTACCGTGTTTTAAATGTAATTTTGTGTCGAAAAAAGCAAATTTATTGATTTTCAAAGATATAAGATGTCAAAGATAATCACCCGTAGTCTTGTATTATGTGAATTTTGTTTCAATTTCTAAAATCAAATTATATTTAAAACAATAAAACCATGTCAAAGTATTCATTGAGTGCTGAACGCCGAACGCCGGTACAGTTTATTTTTTTGATACAATACAGCTAACTGAAGATATTTTCAATTGAATCAAACATCAGTTTCTTTTGCTTCTCTGTTTATATGTGTAGTGTTCAAAAATTACTAATTTCAGGGAGATTATGATTCTGAAATATCAGAGATAGCTTAGGTCAGTGGAAGGCTGATGCGCAGAGGTGCGTCCCCCAAGGTTGTTGGTTATGTTCGTATTCCAAACTTGCGTCGATTAGGATCCTTAGTCATTCAACATTGTAACCGTGCATTCACTGGCTTCCAGTCAAATCCCGCATTAACCGTACACTCAATGGCCTGCAGTTACATCCCGCATTGTACTCGTGCACACACTATTAAATCCCCCATTGTAGCCATTCATTCACTGGCTTCGTGTTCAATCTCATATTATAACTGTATATTCACTGGCTATTGTGACCGCATTCATTTTTAAATCCCGCATTGTAATCGTGCACTCACTGTTAAATCCCGCATTGTAACCATTCCTTCACTAGCTTTCAGTTCAATCTTACATTTTAACCGTACATTCACTATTTGTAACCGCATTCACTTTTAAATCCCGCATTGTAATCGAGCACTCACTGTTAAATCCCGCATTGTAACAATTCATTCACTGGCTTACAGTTCAATCTCACATTTTAACCGTACATTCACTATTTGTAACCGCATTCACTTTTAAATCCCGCATTGTAGCCATTCATTCACTGGCTCCCACATCAATCTCACATTATAACTGTACATTCACTGGCTATTGTAGCCGCATTCACTTTTAAATCCCGCATTGTAATCGTGCACTCACTTTTAAATCCCGCATTGTAGCCATTCATTCACTGGCTTCCTGTTCAATCTCACATTATAACTGTACATTCACTGGCTATTATAGCCGCATTCACTTTTAAATCTCACATTGTAATCGAGCACTCACTTTTAAATCCCGCATTGTAACCATTCATTCACTGGCTCCCACTTCAATCTCACATTGAGTTGTATCTACTTTATATATATTGTCATGTCTTCACTACCGAGCCACGGCGTGTTCCCCAGAGATCCTTACAGAGGACAGGCTGCTGGGTCTCTCAATCACTAGGCCAACTCCCTGCAGGCCACAAAACTCGCCTCTCTTCTTTTGGCATTACTTTATTACTATTACTACTACTATTGTTACTTTTTTACACTTCTACCACAACGTGACATCATCGAGTAAAATTTACGTTCTGATCTTTTACAAGAAGCTTTTGCTATTAATATATATATTTTTTAAT